AACCTTAAAATAGGGCAAGGAGATAACAACAACTAAATGATGCTCATAAAAAAAAGAAAAAAACTACAAGAAAATTATTACAACACTGGCAGAGATCATTCTGTGAACAGTCAACATATTTTTATATTAGACCTCAATTTTGTTTCCTACTGCTCTGTCTGGGAAGACTTTTCATTCAGGGATGCTACATCTGGTCTGAAACTATTCTCTAGACTCCAGCAATGATGTCCTTTCTTTCCTCCTGCCAGGCTCCTCAAGACCTAAAGGCACAACTTTCCAGGACTCCATCACAGTCCATAGATGTTCTTGCTTAAACTCCACCTTTCTACTCCCTTACAATTAATTTGTCAAAAGGAAATGCTCAGCCTCAGCTGCTTTACTGAAAGATTAAATGGAACAGACAGGCTATGCTACACAGCACAACTAAGATCTAGGTATCACCAAGTGACTCATTTTCAGGTCTTGAAGCAGCACAGTACAGTGAACACTAGCACCTAAACACTGAACAAGCTTTTATATCTCTGTGGCACCAAGCTGACATGGCTGTGCTGCTTACAGCACTCCTGCAAGCATCTCTGCCTGGCCCTGCCTTGTGGCATGTGGATAACTCACGTCAGCATCCGCCTTGTAGCTCTGCACCACCTGAGACATACCTACCCTTGCTGCTCTGTGCATCTGAAACACGAGTGCAGGACTCCAGCTCAGCTGCTTAAACCCTCCTCAGCGCCTTTTGCATCCTCCACAGCAATGCAAGGTGCACTTCTCTTCAAGCAGCACCTCTAGTTATGGAGTTCCCTTGCTGCAAAGAGCTTCCTTTTTAAGGAGAAGGAGGTAAATATCTGTCTCCTCCTGCCCTTCCCCTGAGGTTTTATCATTCTCCTCTCTTCTCTCTTAGTTACAGCAGATAAGACTGACTCAGCCAGTCAGCATAGTCTGCTGCTCCTGGAGCTGTATAGCTCTGCTTTTGCCCTGTACTGGATGTCCTCTTTTGGACTTGGGGAGAAAAAATATGTTTCAGTGTCAGAACAGGCTGACTAAACACTTCAGTAACAAGGTTAAGTATAGTCTGCCTTCCTGCACATCTCTAGCCCTGTTGGGGCTTTGTTAACCCTTCACACTTAACAATACCAGCAGTCACACAGACATGTGACACATATACAGAAGCTATTCAAAACAACCCACATCCTCTGCTGTCCTGGTCACTCTCTAGTGAATTGAAATCATATGACAGATCTTTGACCAAGATAGTACATTTCCCATGTCTTTCTTTTCATCATCAGAAAAAGTACCGCATTAATAAGAAAAGTCAAAAGTCATCAAATAATATAATGCAATTACATTCCTCAGACTGTTTGGCTTTAAAAGAAGTCTCTGTTCACAGGCTGCAAAACATCCAGCTGTCACAGATGTAGATACCCACAGTCCACCCAGAAGCAATTCCCAGCAAGGATTTTTTCCATGTGCCCCTAGAGGACAATGTATCCAAGCGAAATGTGGAGCAATGAGGTTCCATCTTAAAATCAGCAAAGGAGAAAGAATATAAGAAAACATGTCAAATGTATGGTGAAAGTGCTTCCTGAAATGTGTCAGAAACAACCTTCTGGCAGGAACCAAAAATTTTCAGTTCCATGGTGTTTACAAGTCCTTCAGGTTGGAGAGATGGAGCCGGTACTACCTCTAGAGGAAGAGCTCTCTAACCACCAGACTCCTCTTGCCTCCCTACCCACAGAGATATAAAAAATTTGCCTCCTGTGAACTCAGCAGTGCCATTCCTGGGTTTGCATAACCACAGCAGTGAAACCCAATGGGAACTTGCTCCTCTAAGCATTGCCACAGAACAAGCAATGACCATGTATTTTTAATAATGGTAACCTCAAAAAGAATACTCAGTAATCAATAGGAAAATACAGATGTGAAATGGGAATTGTCAAAGGCCACTGCTGTCAGAGGTTGTGTGGAGGGCAATTAGCATGGGGCTTAAGGCTTGTGTGGGAGCCCAGTGTGCTCTGCAGGATGTTTCCTGCAGTGCAGACATATTATCACAAAGCTGCCTAGCATAAGTCCCATCCAAGTCCCCTGAACAAAACAGGTAAATATGTACATGGCAAGGGAGTGTCAGTTACAAAAAGTCCTCAATAAAGTCTTTTAAAGTCATGTTATTGCAAAGTAAGTACAAGTTACAGCAACCTCCTTTTGTGCACTGGTACTTCACCTATGTGCAAATCCATTTCGTAAATGAACACAAGAGAATGCAGGAGACTTTTCAGGCAGGTATAATTTGGTCTGAATTTATTAGGGCAACACAGCAACTCAAAGATCACCACCCAAAATTCAGAGCACACACGTGATTCCACTGTGTGCACTGGGGAACTCTATGGACACTTGTCCATGCGAGAGAAAAGCCTTAAATGACATCTCCAAACGTGGTGCCCCTGTGATATATTTCTGGATGCCTGTCACAGCTGGGCCATGGCTGTCTTTACAGCTATCCAAACCAAAGCCCTGGACTCATGGGTACCCACACCATAAAGAAGTTTCTATCTCAGTCAGGAACAAAGCTTTAGACTTTACTCCAAGTTTATCCTCAATGGATGACTGGTCTTTCTAACCCTGTGGGACATCTTTATTTAGGGATATTTTCCTCAGCCTAGGAAGTGACAAAATCAACAACAACTGAATATCCTGCCTCCCCTGCAGTTAAGTACTAAATCATTAAATTCCTACAATTTCTCTTTCTCCTCACCATTTCTGATGGGGCAGTCTCACAGAAGGAATACACACGTGTCCAGCTGCACTGGAGCTGCTGTAGCTTCATTGCTGTGTGGCTGTTTGCCCTACTCTGTGCAGAACTTACCTCTGCCCTTGGTGTCAGCTTGAAGTACAACAAAAAGCAACGTGCTTTGTCTCCCAGATTATCTATATCTATCTATCTATCTATCTATCTATCTATCTATCTATCTATCTATAAGGTTATCTCAGGACACAAATTGCGTCAGCATGGAAAAGGATTGGGCAGGAGTGGAGGGTGTGTCAGGGCACGCTCCCAGGCACAGAAAAGCTCAGAATAAATAGGGACAAAGTTGCTGGCCCGGAGTTGGAATAAAGGCCTGGGAAATGCAAAGAAACGGGCCACACTAATGAGGGCACCAGCATTTCCCTGCTAGCAGAAAGCTGGGGAGGAGGGTGGAGGAAAAGGAAAGGCGGATGTGGAAAACTGTGGAAAAGTGGGAAAGACAGCTTTAGAGAGAAAGTAATCTGAAACCTCAGTCAGACAGAAATAAACAGTACAGTTGGTCAGGAATTTGGCGATAGGGTTTCGCCTGATAAAATTTAATTAATGTAAAACCTACTGTGGGTGTAACCAAAATGCTGAGGAGTTCTTAACTTGGACAAAGTGCGGCAGAAACAGAGGCTGCCCTTGTCCCAAAGAGCTTACAAATTGCCCTCGGGCAACAGGGGGAGATGGAGGGGCAGCATCGGGCTGCTCTCAGCACCGGAGCTGGACTCCAGCCCTCTAATTTTAAAGGTATCACAAGATCAGAGGCAGTTCTAAAGCAAGGTGTGCTTGGAAAAGAGTAATGTGATATTTCAGCAGAGGTATATGGGGCACAAACAAAAAGGCTAACAGAAGCGAAAATTTGACAGAGCTCCTTTCAAAATTTATCAAGGGAGAAAGTTTAGCACAATGAACTAATTGGAGAGAGCTGGGAGTAACCATTTCAATAATATATGAGTTGTGAAGGAGGGTGAAGGAATGATCTTACAGTCTACATTTCAGGAAACAGAAGAGACAGAGCTTGCCAACAAACCAGCAAGCAGGACGTACTGTTCTTAAACTTTCAATAAAATGTTGCTGCAATTTTTTTTTTCCCCTACAGAAAGTGCCCTTTGACAAAAACATTTAAAAAGACATTGTTACTCTGAAATTATCTAGAATGAAAATAATGTTGTAAAAACTTCAGTGAATGCTTGCTGCTGACAGTGCCTAGTGCTGCTAGTACGATGCAGAACTGACAATTAGATCTTAATTTTATCCCTAGCACGGTGATTAAGCTGCTACATTGACTTTAAGCTAGTCACCTCTCCATCTCAACATCTCTAAAAGGTGCACAAAACCAGCTACCTGTGTGACAGCAGTGCTTTGAAATGCTCAGACATAGGCATCTGTAAAGGGTGTTAAAAGTCTTTTCTACAGGCAAACATTCTTCTTCCTATTTTCATTTATCTCCCTTTCCACTTTTGAAGAGACCTCTACAGGACTAATTTGTAATAAGCTGTTACATAAAATTCTATCCAAGTCAAACAGTAGACTCTTATTGCCTTAAAATATACTAGGGTGAAAACCTTCCTACCTTAGGGAAATTCATCTTAGAGATAGAAGTATTTTATGGGGGCTGTACCAATACTTTTTTACCTTTTGCTTCCAGGCAGATGCCAGTACAGAGAGCTCCAGGTTTTGGAAGGAATTTTTCTAAAACCAATCCTGACAAAATCCACATGGTTTTCTCTACCTCTGCAATCTATGCTTTGACTTCTAATTTAAAAACATCAGTCATAAATTCAGTATTATGTAGTTCTGAATACCTACTGTATTTTAAGTAATCTGTTCCTTTTAGCCATTGAATTCCATCTCCACCATCAGATGTACAGTGGATATCCAATCAAAGCACTGAAGCCTTACTTTTTTTCTAGGTAAGCACTGTAGTTCTGTAATTCATACAACTTTGTAATTTTCCAGATTTTTTTCCCTTTTATGAGCTATGTATAAAGTCCACATGCATACACACAGACACACACACATTGACTTTTTAATTGACCTAGTCTGTGTAAAATGCTTTGAAATTTTTGGCTGGATTGATCCACAGAAGTATTACCCTCTTGCATGGTTTTAAGCCCTGAAGTTTCAATTGGAAAATTAATTTGAGTGAAAGACATGTAAAGAAAAATTCTTCACACATTTATACTGTAGCAGCAAGAAAAAAGAATGAAAATATACTCACAGCTGTGGCATTTCACGTACATATTCATCTAGAGAGCAGTCTGAGATTTCAGCTTGCTGCTTCAAAGCTGGACTTTCCTTCCCAGAGTGAATAAGGTTGCAGGGACTGCCATCCAGTGGGGAACCGACAGCCTAACAGGGGACTGGAACTGCAGAAAGGTAAAATTTAAAGGTGTCAAGACTGAAAAAGATTGAGCAGTAGCTAATGACAATGCGGGAAGTACTAATGATGGAAGGAATTTCCTCAGCCAGCTTCAGATATTATGGACAGTGTTTAAATAAAAGTAATTTATTTTCCAAATGTAGGTGCACAAAGGCAGTACCTTGTACTGACCATGCTAAGCAGGTAAAATTAGGCTTGTTCAGTCACAGTCTGGTAAACCAGCTGTGGTTAAACACAGCCCTTAGACACATCCAAAATACTAAAAGCATTATTTCCCTCTTTGCACGGGTCTGTCTCCATTGATCTCAGTGAAGTGTAGCCTGGGTTTTCCTAGCTGTTAGGTGAGACCAAAAAATACTTAAGGTTACTGTGTGTCTGCTGCCTTTTAAAGCACTAGAGGGGGAAAAAACTTCCTCATACGTCTGAAATTATTCCTCCTTAGGCTATGAAACCAAACTATGATTTAAATATAGCTTGTTAGTAATTTTGTCATTTAGCAGTGGTTTTAAGCATTATGTACCTCCTGTAGCTCTAACGAAAATCTGGTGGAATGTTCCATTTCCCTGGTTTTATGATCTTTCATATTTATTGCCTTGTCTACTATGTGTATGAATCTTGATATTTGTGACATATTTTTCTCAGTTTGTTCTGTTGTGCACAGACCATATGTTGTCTATGTTCATAAAACACTCAGTAACTGTATGTGCAGAAAAAGACTTTTTTCATGTTACTTGCTAAGAAATGTAAGAACCTGCAGGTCATCCCTGCAGAGGTGTTTTTAAATCCAGCCCCAGGAAACAATTGCCTCCTTTCCTTAAAGCTGTGATGAAGCTTTGGCAGGATTCTCAGATGTACTTGGCAGTTAACTTATATTGATTTAAACAAAAATTATGTACCTGAATTCCATGAGGACCCTGGCTTGACTGCTGTTGATGTAGATTTTGGCATGCCTTCGTTGGCCCCCTGGTGTAATGGTTGGGAATGCAGTAGGATTTTTATTGTTTTCAGGATGAGTCATGCAGGCAGCAGCACAACAGATGGTGTAGAGTGTAGAACAATAAAGACAAAGATACGAGACAGCTAAGAGAAAACTGGAACAGACACAGAAACAACAAGAGGATGAGAGAGGCTGAAAGCAGGAGAGAAGCCAGGAGGTTAAGCTTTGCCACAGATAGCAGGAGCTAATGAAGTGTGTAGTCAGGGCAGGGTAAAGTAGCTCAAACCATGGCCAGCAGGGAAAATTGAAGGACCTGTAGTCAGAGTAGAAGGAACAGAGGTAGGAATACTAAGAGAAGCAAGGCTCATAGACAGGCAAGTGGTTGGTGGGGCTAAGTGACGGATTTCAGTGTGATAAAAGAGCAAGTACCAGTGAGGAGGAATAAGGAAGTGGAAGAGCTGAGGAGACTGATAAATAATACCCTTTCAAGGCAGAAATACCACAGCAGTTAGAAAGACAGCAATCAAAACCAACAGTGGTATCCTGAAACTCAGAAGTCTGGAATGATAGCAAAGAAACAAGGGATGGCAGCTGCTGAAAGACAATAGGATAAAGACCTTGAATAAGCTCAGACCAGCATCCAACAAGCAAAAGGAGATGAAACACAGCACTCAGAGCTGGTTTAACAACCAGCTGTAGCAGAGGTAGATACACTTGGGGAAAACACAAAAGAAGTTAAATTCCACAGGTCAGTGAAGCACAGTTGCTGAAAGGAGGTGTCTGGAGAAGTCTGTGTAACTGAGAAATGTATCCGTGTCTTACTGCTGCTCCAGCTCAAAGAGGGGAAAAACACAGAAAGCTCCATCAGGAAAATGCTTCCTAGAACTATCACAGGTTCCTTCCTCCCACTCATCACCCTGTTCTGATACAACAGCTATAGTGACAGCTCTCTAATTATAACACATTTTAGGTGGAGGACTAAGATGAAAATTCTAAAAGAAAAAGGCCTTAAACTTTCCTCCACACACTTCTATTTTCCTTACCCCAACCGCTAATTCATTTTTCTGTTCTGGCAGTAGGCAGTTAAAGGAGCTACTTTCTGCTGTCGTGTCTAGCTCATATAACCACTTGATTTTTCAGATTGAACCAGGGCAGCAGGATTCTGTCCTACAACTGCATTGCAGGGATATTTTTAAAGGACAAATTTAGCTATTTACAAAGACTCTTCAACAACAGTTTTTAAAGACACAGAGCCTTGGTGTTTGGAAGGTCAAAAGTTTATTTCTCAGCCATGGCATAATAAAGATGGGCAAATGCTGAAAGACACATCAAGAAACCAGTCACTCTTCCCAAAATAAGCCAAATGTATCTGCAAATTTTAACAGGCCTTTGCCAAGCCTATTCTTAAAGCTGCAAAAAGCAGAAATTCCATCACTGGCACAGACTATCTAGTCCAGTAGAAAACTATTTTACCCTTACAAACATACTTCTAGAATTACCCCAACTCCTCCTTGCTGCTATCGAAGCTCTGTCTATTACTGATGAAGAAACAAAACTGCTTTGCTCCTTTTCACACTTAATTTTATGCCTCCTGTACTTGGAAGTTAAAAGTTTTGCCAGTACCTCCATGTGATGTTGTATTGCCCACGAAAGACTATCTGCTCTTCTCTTCAGCTTGTGATGCAGGAGAACCCAAGGACTTACTCTGAGGCATCCCACATTTTGTCAGCTATTTTCTTCAAGTAGCACTGATACTTTGGACTTGTTCCCAGAAAGAATAAACCAGCCTAGTGTTTTTAGACCACTCATTGATTTGTTAGAATCACTATGCATCCTTTTTCCGCCCTCCCAGCACTCTTTAAGTTTTATGGTTTCTGCTTATTTAGTCAGTACACCCTATTCAATACAGGTCAGTGGGTGTTGAACAAAACTAGCCAAAGTACAGACCTAAAAAGTAAGATATCTTTCCACTTTGATACAAAGACATCAACTAATCAGTAAACACTCTCTGAAAATGCTTCTCAAAGTACTTTGGAATTCAGCTTATACCTGTTTTAGCTAAGCCAAGTTTCCAGAACATACAAGACAGTATCAAAATCTACAGCCCAAACACCTGATTTTCTTCTGTCCATGGGGCCCATAACTCTCATATGCCTTTTTCTCCATATAACTTATTCTTTAAAAATCCAAGTTGGCTACTCATCTTTTTGCCATTTTCTTCCAGGTGCTTAAAATGCTTCCCCCACACCTCAAAACCTCTTCTTCCAATTGAAGTTATGCTTGTTTTTTATTATTCCCCATTCCTCACAGTCTTCATCTGCAATTAAAGACCTTATCTATCATTTACATATCTAAAGATGTATTATCTGTCATCCAGGATCTGTCAGAAATACCTAAAGGTTCTGAAATTATTTAAGCTGTCCTACTAAGTAATGGAGAAGAAGTATAACTTCCACAGTTTATTTTAGAATAACACAACCAGTCTGAGTTCTTTCAATTTTTTTTCTTTCCGTTTCCAGCTAAAAGCATAACATTTCCACCACCAACAAAGGGATCCCAGTCCCCCCATCCACACCGGTCTCTGAAGTGAAAACTGATGCCAATAAGAGAAGGAAATTACAAATGGCACTCTTTCACAAGCATTGGGCAGCAGATGATGCCATATTGATCTGATTTACTCGAAGAGAAATACTATTTCTTCCAGCCTGCAGGTAGAACGGTCTAAGAGCTTTGACATTTATAGAACCCATATGGGACAGCTACATGAAGTGTAACTCCATCTTATGCCTGAAGAACATTAGTAACTAAACTGATATCATCAAACAGGAGCTGAGCCAATTGTCTTATGGACTCAAGATACTGGACAGCAGAAAGCAGTGCCCTGCATCTGCATCTCTGATTAAAACGTGGTGGAAGTCAGACAGGCCTGACTCCCATTACAGTGCCACAGCTGTTGCTCTAAAATGAGCTCATGGTCTCAGTCCAGTTCTTGGCTGACAGGTATCCATGTCAAACAGAAAGGACACCAGCACAATTAGTTTTTAACAAAGAAACCAAATCACTTAGAAACTCTCATATTCCTAGCAGCCACTTCCCATGAAACATTACCCTTTGAAAAGAGTTCGATGTATTAGTTATATGTTTTGTTGGCACTAAAATCCAGATCTCTCCAGAGTTCTCCAAACATTAGTACAGCTGAAAGATCTTAATGTCACTGCAATGTATTGCAAAACATTCTTCTGAGATTTCTATAACTCTTCCAATTAATTTCTTCCAATTGTTTCAATCCTCTCTTACCATGTTCTGGAACAAAAATATTCTAAAGAAATTGCAGTGTTGAGAAGTAGCAATTAGAAATTCTGAAAATAGGCCAGTTATTGCAGCAAACCTTTTTGGGAAAATCATACCATTGTAGGAAAAATACAATAATCATATTCACAAATGTGCAATACCAATTATACTAGCACAGATGTTGTTATGCTGTAGAAAAACAGTTTCCATTGCATGCAGAATTTCCATATGTGTCAGGAAAATAAATGAGAATTGCTGTCTTTACCATAGGCACGTTGGCTCCCTGCATTGAAGGCAGCAGAAGAAATTCAGGGTTGTCTCAGGTTATAAGAGCGTAACTCTTAAGAAATCAAACTCATAGTGCTTCCTAATTAATATATTAAGAAGATGTATTTATGCATATTTCCTCCAACTGGCTGAATCGTCCTCCTTCCTCCACAAACTGTTTCAGTGACACAAATCTTCCAAACGTGTTGGTTCTTGGAGAAGTAAGGAGTGGGGTCAGAGGAACTGCTACCTTGGACTCCCAGAGAGAAGACTTTGGCCTGCTTATGGCCCAGATTGGCAGAATCCCTTGGGTCACAAAGGAGTTCAGGAATGCCTGACATTCCTCAAGAAAGAAATCTTAAAGATGCAGAAGCAGGCCACCCTGATATGCCTAAAGACAGGACAAGCAGGAAGCAGACTGAACACAGATCTTTAGCTGAAAATCACAACAAAAAGGAGAGTTTATAACCTTTGCAAAAAGTGGTGGCAACTCAGGAGTA